TTGGAGTAAGTTTGTTGTTTTGACAAGTCTTCCAACTGACCTCCATTCACACTTCTGCTTGTGTGTGTGCACATAAATTAGCTGGAGGGCAGTGGAATGGTTCAGGTAATCTGTGTCCAAGCTCTTTCTATTCCTTTCAGAGCAAGTTGTTATCAAGCTTTATTGCCTTTAGGCTGAGTCAACAGCGTTCCTAGGCGGAAGTCCCAATCACTGTTGCGTGAGAAAGCTGTGATGAAATAGGTGGACGATATAAAAGAAGAGTAAGGAGGATGAATAGCAAGGGACCGGAGAAGCTTGAGATTTCCTTTTGTAGAAACTCTCAATCATAAAGTGCAATTGTTGAAGTAAAAGAAAAAGGAGAAGAATGCATTTTTCTTACACAGCAGTTTATCATAAATATCACAAATATCCTTGAGTCATATACTGCCTATCAGCTCAATTCAAGATCTGTGTGCGATGAGAAGCTGTATTTTTTATCAGCATCACTCACATCCAGCCTTACTGCAGCCACTTTTCCTACACAACTCATGTTTTAAAGAAAGTGTACTGGAACTGCAGGAGGGTTTTACAATGTCTTCCTGAAAAAGGAGAGGTCAGCTCTGCAACCTGTAACACCCAACATCTAAGCTTGCAGCCCACAAACTGTGCCAAGTTTGCGTTTGTGTGAGAGTGTGTCATGTATCTGTTCCTCCCCTCTGTCTGTGTCAAACCTCCGGTCTCACTGGTGGAGGCTTTGCAGGGATCTCGTCCAAACCCACGCTACCTCCACCTGCCAGGTGAGATTGCCTTTCTATCGCTCTGGTATAGCCTCTCAACAGAGGGCAATGAGGGGGGCTTAGCTCGCCCTTGTTGCTAACTAGACTGAGGGAGACCCTTTTTGCCAGCAGTAGGAAATAAATTATATAAACGGGCCAGAAATTGAATCCATCGCACCTCCGGAGACAGAATAAATAAACAGCGGCCAGTGAGAAGAGCTAGGGCTAAATCCCCAGGTTCCTTTGGCTCAACAGAGTGACTGAGACAATTAGGATTTGGAATTGTTATTCAGAGAGCCACCAGAAAACTCAGAAAAAGAGAAATGACGAGAGTATATAGGCATATGGAAAGGAAGATATTCAAACCAGTAATTTGCACTAAAACTATCATTAGAGTTTTTTTGGGAAATCCTAAGCTGAGAAAGAAGTTAATCACATTCAGCATCACATACTTTTAGAACTGCCTTGGCCTTTTGCCATGTTCTGAAAATATTATCTTAGCACCCTGACTAATTTACTGGTTAGCTGAGCACTAATGATTGAATGCCTGACTATGTTGCCCAAAGCAGTGAGCACTGGTGTGTGTGTGTGTGTGTGTGTGTCTGTGTGTGTAGAGAACGAGCAGGCCCCATGACTCATGGTGAATCCCTCCCCCCATTGGTTGACAAACACAACCGTCGCACACTGACAACACTGAACAGCGCTCTGGGGGACAATCGCAGTGCTTTTTTTTTACAACCGGTCGGGAGTGGCACATGATACTTGAGTTATGACTCTTTGGAGAAAATCATTGCAAAAAGGATCAAGTTTCATCTTGCAAATAAAAATGATTCATTCTGTGACAAATAATGCCACAAGCCGGCTTAATTTATCCCCATTAAACGTCCGGATTGATCACACTTTTACAACCTGATTTGTCTCAATTTGTTGTAAACACAAATTGAATCAGATTATGCATTGATCCTGTGCCTGGGGTGAAATGTACCATTGTTTTGTTGATGAGGATAAATTAATCTCTAACAGCATGTCAATTGAAGTGTGGCATATCCTCTTCTACTCTTTTCTGGTGAATTTTAGCAATGCTGTATTTACTTTCTGCCCTTTTGTCATGGAAGAGCCTCACTCTGAAAGTACATCCATCCATGAAATATTCATATAAAGAGTTTTATTCCAAAAAGATTATCATTACCTTAGTTTAATTCCTAAGTTCCAAGGTATCAAATATCACCTCTTCTAAACTCAAAATGCTATTTTTCAAGCAACGTACTAAACACACTTCATAGTTTTACTGCATGATCATACCAGCTGTTATTCAAATTAAGAGATGATGCCATATTGTTTGATGGTCCACATCTTTCCTTTCAAAGCTCATTGCCACACGATTAGGCAGAGATCAACCTGGTGCAGTTTTATCTCTCCTGCACCTCAACACACACATTAACATGCACAGAGAGTGTGTTCAAGGCCATCCCACTGTAAACCTTCCCTCTTTAACAGCTATGCTTGTCCACAGATTATGTTGTCATAGCAACAGAGGCGAGCATGGGAGGAGGGCAACAGCCTTCCCCCATGTCCGACTCCTCGTCCGCCTACACCTCGGTCTTTCTCTCCCACTCTCTCTTCTTGTTGTTTCCTGCCTCTCATCCTGCTTCCCCTTCTCTCTTTTAACTATCGTTGCTATTCTGAAATAAAATAGAAAGCTAAAAAAAAAAATAAGTTGTTGTGGACTTTGGTTGACTCTAGATTGGATTACACAGTGCATAATACACTGAGAACTGCAGGACAGACTTAATTGGGTAACTCTTTCAGTGCCTTCACTTAAGCAACCAGTCCTGATTTTTTAAACATCGTGTAAACGACAAACCCAGTTTTCATCAGGTTAGGGGATTGGAGAAACATGCTGCAGAAACCTAACAAACAATCAGCCCTCAGGGAGCTGTATCTTGTATTACTTAAATCCAAATTATACCGTCCGTAGCTGCAGACCCTGGCAACTACACAGATTTGTCATTTGATAATGTCGTTGAGGGTATAGGGATGGGATGTTCCAAATTTTCTGCCTCCAAACGTATCAGTTTCTTTTATCGATGCTGGCATGTTTTTTTTATGACAGTTGCACATTGCACAACAGTAGTGTCAAACTCACATCCACTCTGCTGGAAAGTTGCAACAAGAAGGAGTCACGGTGGAGAGGAAGAAACAATCCAATGTAAGGCTTCATTTCACAGAAAAAAGATGCTAGTTGTAATGTCTGTAAAATGATCATTTCAAGTAAGAGTGGAAACACCAGCAATATGCTGAAGCATCTTTCTATGCAACATAGGCTTGAATGTAAGGAATGCCTTTGTATGTATTTGGCACTCTACATGCATACATTTTTCCTGTGTAGGCTTACTTGTTTTCCACACAGAAATTGTATTTGGAAGGAAAATTGCTAAAAAAATCTGACTGATAGGCAGAATCGATAACGGCACTGAAATCAATAAAATCATCATTCCCTACAAAGGTATTCTGTGTATGACTGGGTGGACTGTATGCACCTACAACCGCGCAACCTTGAATGCAGAATAGTCTGTGTCTTTATACACCTAAAGTAAGTATGGTTCCCAAATAAGGTTGTGCATAGGGGAGAAATCTGATTACTGGCCCTGCAGCAAGTGGATTTTATAGCTACCAGTTCACTTTTTATGTAAATGCACTGGCAAATTTCCTCCGTAACCGGATTTCTTCTGGTAATCTGGTTTGTTGTGTTCATGTGTATACATTGTGGTGTATTGTGTTTTTACATGTACATGCATCTCCTGTGTTCAACTTTGTTTCACTTACAATGCTGGGCCAAAACTCGACCATCGCAATCATCCAATCATCCACACATAAACATACACACATGCTTATGGATGTATACTCCAGAGGAGGCAAAACAGGCTCTTTGAAAAACAGGTCGGGTGGAAGTCCTGCGGTTAGATTTTGGAAGAAGTTGTTCTGGGACTTAATTAGTAAAGGGCCCACATTTGAAGTGCCCATGAGCTCTGCTTTCAAATCTGGGACAACGAAGGCACACATGCACATGCCCACGCACGCATGCACGCGCACACACACACACACACACACACACGCAATACCCATGCATACATGCAAACATACACACACATATGATGACATATACCCACGCACACACACACACACAGCTGCACAGAGATTAAACTAGAGAAAATCCATACAGTATACCAAGGAGTATTTTCAGAAAAGGCAGTTCTTTTAGATTCACAGTAAAGCTTTTGACCAAAACTCCATATGCTTGAAACATGGCTCTGATAAGTCTAAATATTGTTCTGTCAGCTTACATTCACTGCAGTTACTATGGATTGTAACGGTGAGTCACAACAATAAAAAAAAAAGGATCAAAATCTCCATAGAAACATTTCTATTACTGTATAATCCACTCCTCTGCTGTTGATCAGTATTGCATGTTCAGTATGTTTCAAATAAACATTAATGTACTATTTCATTGCTAAAAATACTTCTAACACAGCTTCTGGATTGCGTGGCAATATCAACATAAAAAAGTGTACTTATCTTAGTGGAGAAACTATGACTGTTTGAACATACAGATCAATGACAGAGAATAGGAATATGCCAATATAATGCCTTTTATGACTCCAGGTCACCATTGAAATTCCACAAAGCTACAGCACAGTACTCCCTCAAACAAACTTTTTAGAAAAACCTTTTAAACCTAAGCAGTGGGTGAGGTGACTGATATATTAACTGATAAAAGATAGATCGAAAACCCCTTTAAAGTAAAGGGATATTCCTTGAAATGTAAAAGATAAATAACCATAATAAACTTTTACACATTCCATTACTTCAAGAACAAGGCTGCTTTCTCAAAAAGAATAAATAACAGCTATGGATGGTGTGTCAAACTTTAAAGATACCTGTTAGGAGACAGCAAAAACACACACAATAGCAGTCAGATAATTACGTCTATATTGTCCAATTATCTTTACACAACCGAATAATCATATTCAATCAGTACAAAGTGTCCCACAAAGTCTTGTCTCAGCAATACACAAGGCAGCCATATCACAAACTACTCTCAGCCAGACCCTGAACATTGCTATTGGATGCAGGAACATCCAGAGAAGGAAGACAAATAAATATTACATGTAGGAAGGAGCAGGGGAGAGGAAGAGGAGGCATTTAAATAATAGTATCAACAATAACAGCAGCTGAGTCACTTACTTGCAGTGCTTGTGGGGCCCACTGAGCGTCTCGATGACAAAGCATTCGCCGCCGTTCAGGCAGTAGGCCAGGTCCTTCTCATGACAGGGTTTGAAATGCTCCGAGTGTAGCGGAGGGACAGTTGGAGATGCTGAAGGACAAACAAAGGAATTCTTGTTAGTCACAAACAAGCCCTAAATATATATTTTTTTCACGAATGCGTTCGCTCTCCAACAATTGGGGTTAGTGACAGCTCTAATTCATCTCACTGTCTTCTAGCAGCCTATTACTCCTCAAACTTTATTATTGTCTCTTTCTTCACTCTACAATTCTGCAAATAAATCATCATATCACCCTAAATTGCAGCAGGAAAAAAAGAGTTGGTTTTTCCAGCAGAGGCTACTTACTCTCCATCCAACGAGTGCCTGCCACTGCCTCATAACATACTGCACATTGTGGATAATACCAAACACACTATTGTTTGTTTAGACCCTGCAATGTCATCAGAAAAAGATGGATGGAGGACGGGTAATAATCTGTCCTGCCGTGATTAATACTCTGTGGTCACAGTAGTGCGGTTGGAGAGCTTGACTTCTCCCAGCGATTTATCACAACATGCATGGCTGATTGTGGACAGTGAACACTTCTGAGGGAATCTGCTAAGCGTACCTTAATGGATGATCTTATCATTGAAATTAATAACTAAACACCAGTTGCTTAAGAGGAAATATGGAAATGCTAAAGTGACCTGATCTTAGAAACCGTGAAATCGTGGTGCAATTCATGGCGTTCGAGGCGTATTTGTGCTCGCTGAGGATAATTTAGAAAACAGAAAAGATAAATGAAAATGTAGAGATTTCAGAGAGTTCATGGGCAGTCATCCATCAGCAGTGTTTTGAAAGCCTGAGATGCAGTTGGTCGAGGCATGGCTTTCAGACGTGGGGAGAAATCAGATCTGCGCCACAGTTGATGTTCTTATTAATACCAGACCAGACTGCTGACTGTTTCCTTTGTGCTTGTAAATGAAAATGAGTCCACTAAGGGCTCTCATTAGCCGATCCTCAGCCATGTTTTTTAAAGTAGCTGGATGAACAGCGATGAGCCATAACTTTATGCTTGAGTGATTGAAAATCAGTTGTACTCACAGGATGCTGTTATTACCACTAGTATATGATTACTGTCTTAGCTTGTCCTTTAATGGTGTGTGGAAGATACATCCAAATGAACTGAAGATTTCTCAATCAAGAGATAATAAGACATTAATAATAAGCAGTGTTTTGGAGGGGATGGATGGGTAAAGGGAGGTGAGTTATTTCAGTATGGCCTCAGAACCCTTAATCAGCAGTATGAGGTGTGTGTGTCAGGGGGGTGGGCTAAATTATGAGATGCTGGGTGGTGATAGGGCTCTGGGGATCTTAAACAACTCTTGGTAATTGGCTGTTGGGGGACTAGTTTCCATGCGAGAGGGGAAGAAGTTAAATTGAATCTGCAGTGAGACGTGGTTTTGTTAGGTGAGGATATCAACAGGTTGGACAAGGTCTCAATCAAAGGGGTAGCTTGTTTAAAATGTTTGTCAACATTTGAGGAAGTCAACACTTTAAAATCCAACTTATTTCATGTAAATGCACTACTACTGTAGCATATTAAAGGGAAACAACACCGATATTGCACTTGTAGATGTATTGTCTTGTCCTTTTAGCCTGTGAAAACAGTTTTATAACATCTTCTGTGGAGTCGCGACCCCTGAGAATAATCAGGTTGGTGTCCGTGACCCCTACCCCTGTGTAAGACCTGAAAGCTCCTATACTCACACAGGAAGACCATTGCTTTGCAACACAGACAGAACAACTAATTCATTTTTTTTAGATTTATTCACAGCACTTTCACAGTCAACATGTCTGCTCTTAGGCCTAAAAGAACAATAATAGATAGAAATACATTCTCACGCTACTGAGGCAACTGGGTCAGTTAACATAAAAACGCAGTATACAGCTTATGTTACTGTGCTTTTGAGTTCTTGCCCCCTGTGTTGAATGTCATTAAAGGGATGACATTGCTGAGAGATGCTTCCTGTCTCTCATTCCGCACTGCTTGCCACAATATTATGTTATTTTATTTTATTCTCCACAACCATTTGGCGACCCCTGGAAATTAACTTACGGACCCTTTGGGGGGTCAATTTTGTGTTTTATGAGCTTCCCAATGTTGTGGCAGGGCAACATTAAATCACTGGAGTTGCCCTTTAAGTGACACTATAGAAGTGGCATGGTATTATGTAAATTCACTTTCAGACTAAACATTCACTTTTTGAGAAAACAATGTAAATCTCTGTTTCAAGCTTTCAAGCTGTGTTGTGCTTATTCAGCATTTTTGTAACTGGTGCAAAAATGGTTGAACTGATCCGAGAATTGACTGCATTATGCTTTTGTGGACTTCCTTTCTTTCTGACTACAGACTACAGACTTTTCAGCGGGCCGGGTTGAAGGTGAACCACATCTTAACAGGGAGGGTTTATTCTCATTAAGGTGACCTTGAGCTTGACAGTGAAGCCCTAACCCGCTCTGAAAGTGCAGGCTTTTTGGTTCTGTGGGGTTACATGTGCAGTGGAGCTTGATGAGTGACAGGGTCGGTTGTGTGGTCTGTGTGTCATGCCTGTGCTCGGGCCAGACATTTCAACCTTCACTCTGGTTTCACAATCCGTATTGTTGGCAGTTTTTTTACAACTGGGTGAAACTGACAATTTGTAATTTTCATGGGACAAAAAGCTGTCTTGTTTCCCCGACAAAACAGTACCGTATCAGCCACAGACAAACTGACACAATGGCATTGCAAGGGCACTGGAAAGCTGAGTATGTGTAGTGCGTTCAGTTCTTCACAAGTCACAGACTAATTAATGCATTTTTAAACATAACCATTTCTCCCCATGGTTCGAGTTACGAGGGAGCAAACTGGAGCTCGGCCCCCCTGAAAGCCTACTTTGAGAATTTTAGGAGCTCTAAAAACGTTCCTGAAATAAATAAGATTAGTAAAAAGATGTTGGTGTCATGTGTTTATTTGCTCATATTTTGTTGTGTGTGCCGCCATGGCAACCATGAGATGTGTGATTCTTGAAGAGGTGTGCATTATTATTACTGCCTGTGTTACCCTAATATTTTTCTTTTGTGTTTTTGCTTTTATTAATAAATGTATTCTTTGATTTTAAAACAGTAGCCATATGTTGTTGTAATATTGCCTCTATGAAATGTTATTGACAGTATCACTGCCTGTAGCAGTAACAGTAGAATGTTTTTTGTAGTAACCATCCAATTGACCGCAGACCTTCATGTATCTGCAAGCATATGACACGTTTAGTAGTGGTGTGCACCAGAAAATAGAGCTCCCACAAAAGCCATTGTATAATTCAAACCCTGTCCCTCCCTAACCTTAACCATAGTTGCCATTAGCAGATAAATGTGTCATTTAAATTTCCAAACATTAAGAGTTTTTCATAATCATCCGTAGCAACACTTTTCTAGCTGTTTGACAGCTCTCCAATGACACTTGATTTAATTTGACTGAACATTAAGTACTTATTATGCATAAACTGGGAATTATTCAATCAGCTTAACATGACAAAAACTACAGCATGAACATGGATCCGTGCAACAATACAACCACAAACTTGCGTCTAAACTCAACCTTTTCAAGGCTTTACTTTGTAGTTCACATGGATTCACAAGGACATATTGAGATTAAATTAAATTTGAAGAATGTGTTTTCTTCCTAAGTGCAGCTGCCAACTAGAAAGAAAAAGAGAAAGACAGAAAACTCATAATAGAGTAAGAGAGAATTCAAAATATAACAATACCATTTGGTATGTTCTGACATGATTCCTTTGGCTTGCAGTGCCACACATTCTGCACACACAGACTCTCAAAAACAAAGCCCAGAATCACAAAGAACTGCTGTGTCTTTCTTAGCACTTGCCCTGCAACACAACTATTTTTTTTTTTTCAAACAAAGAATTTCCCTCCAGACATGATTTCATGCTTGGACTGGGCTGTGCTGTTTTCTTAGTCCTGGCAATAAGTGACAGAAGCGCCATTTGTCGTCCTCTCCCTTTGTTTTCTGTTGACAGAGTTGTCACAATGCACTGTTGGTTGTTTAGCTTAACACTCGTCACCTGTCAGCACAGACGCAGTATGCACTCAAAGAACTCTGTCATTTTAGGAGGGACTGCCAGAGTCGACAGAAAAAATCATTCCAGTCCGCTGAAAATATCTCTTCACGTTTGAAAACATTGCTCATAGAAGGCAGACGTCAATCACTGCAGAAGAAAACAGTCCAATTTACTCCGCCCTGCTGTGAAAAGAGAAAGAGGGAGAGGCACCATGAGGATCAATAAACCGCCGGGCGCTGGATAACACAACCCTCCACTTCAATCTCTCTTTTCCTTCTTTCGTCTCCCTTGCCGTGCTTAGAGGAAGAGAATGAGGAAGGAAAAAGGATCTGCTGACTTTCACCTTTACATGGCAGCACCACTTGGTTGAAGTGGGGAACCGGCAGCAGCCATTTATGTAACGCTCAATAATTTAATAATAAACAAGATCAATCAGCCCTTTCTGAACTGCTATCAGTGACACTGACATCTTTAGAAGACTCTCAAACAGCTGAATATGCAGATCAAGACAGAGATGAATCCAATCACTGCTGGGTGCAGGTGATGCAGTATTCATGATTTAATTATTGTTCTTCCGTTTTGTAAATCCAGATCAGCAGGGGAATGTACAGGCTGAATCTGAGCATTTACAAATTCAAATTTGGAGACTTGACAGTGCAACCCTGTCTCCTACAAAATACGTTTTCATACTACTAATTTGCATTACCAAATTTGTTTTGGAGGAAAGTCGGACCTTAGCACTGGAGATTGGGGTTTGTGTCCTGTGTCCAATGTGTTGTTAGGTTTGAAATGTGTCCTGCCTTAACTCCTATACCACAGGGGCAGCCCATAGACTTTTCCGATTTCTGCCAACAGATCCTGTTGTGTTTGTGTTTGTGTTTGTGTTAAGTGTTAAGAACCTTAATTTATTTCATTCAATTGAGCAAAAATGTGAGAAAGCATTGTTTTTTTTATAACAGGTTGATACCTGAGGTATGTAGCCTACATCACCC